ATTAACATAGAAATAAGAAAATAAATTAAAATTCCCGATTTCGCATAATTACGGAAAAATAAAAGCTAAACAATAAAATTGAAGACAATTGCATTAGGAGTCTCATTAAAAATAATTTAAAACAAACAGCGCCAAAAAAACTTTGCCCGCTCGCTGTTCGGCCTGGAAATGAAGATATTTAGCATACGTATAAAAGTAAAATAAATAGGGCCAAAAACTTCAAGTAGAAATGGAATGAAAACAATATGGAGCCCAGCCACCACTACACAACGGGGCAAACAGACGGCCATGCCATGCAAATGCCTCGAAGAGCTGCCTGTGACAACGCGACGTGGCGGGCATCTGAGGACGCTAAAAGGCTGCTGGCCTCTTGTTTTGATAATGAATAACAGGGCCGAGCAGCACTGGACGAGCTGCTGGCAACTAAAAATTGCCCAAACATTAACGAGCATCTGCGAAAAACTTGCAACTCACAGTTGAAACTGCAAATTGGTGCTTGGCAGCTGGACGAGTTGCGTTGCGTTGCGTTGGGCTGGGCTGGGTTGACGGTGAGAGGGGTTGAGTAGTAGAGTGGTTGAGGGGCTGCAGTGCTGTTTGCATTGTTTGCAAAATGCTTCAAGTAAATTATGCAGAGTTGCAGCAGCGAAAGTTAAGCGTACAACAAAGTGGAATTTATTCTGGCTTCCTACTTCGCCCAGTGATGTCTTTGTAGCCGCTGTTGTTTTTAATAAACTTAATAAGTTTGCAATTTGTTGCTGCAATCAGCGAGGGACAGCAGTAGTAGACACCGAAATTGCCACTCCACTAACATGCAAATCGGCAGCTCGGCAACACATGGCGTATACTTAATTTGGGCACAAATTATGCAGGCGTCACGCGATAAACTAATTTGAAAAGAACATTGCCCAAACTCTTACAAATATATACATATACACTCAGCTTATTTGGGGAAAATGGCCCAGCAGAAATCCGTTAACGAACTTAAAAAATAAAGCGAAAATATATAATACATAACTGCATAATATTCAGGCATTTTCTTTTGGGTTAGGCAACATGAAAATATTTCCATGCACCCAAATTAAAGTCAATTAAAAGATACTCTGTACAGCAGTTTCCAAAAGGGCTTAAAAATTATCTTTGGCTTAGCTGAAAAATTAATGACGACCCTTTTGGCCCTGGCCTCACTGAGCTGACCCAACTCAATTTCAAATGCCCGCTTGTGTCTTACGCAGTTCATAATGGTTCCACGAATGTGAAGTTCGGCAATGAATTAAAGCTGTTTACACGCTGGACAGCAAATAAAGATGGAGTCTAGGCCGGGCAGGTGGGCAGCGCCCTAAATAAACAAACATATGCAGCAAGGCCAACGTTCAAATTGAATTTGCGCGCAGAGCCAAAGAGCATAACAAATAGACGATACATGTACGCCATGTGCGCGGAGTACAAAGCTGTAAACAAACTCTTCAATGCTGAGAGACTCTCTCGGATGAGATTAAACAAAGCACGGGCTGGGCTTTGTTTTTCGGTCGCAAGACAGATAAGCGGGACCTTCTAGTACCGTCGCTCGTCGGGAGTGTGGGGGGGTTCTTTTCTGCCTTGCGATCAGAGTTCATAAATTTTAATTTTTAAGATCCCTTAAACTCGAGGTGGAGCTATACTCCACGAAAAAAAAAAACAAATTATATTGGGGAAGTAGGGGAAGGACTGGCACAAATTNTTTTTTTTTTTTTTTTTTTTAGCTTGCGACCATTACAAAGCAAACCGCAAAAACACACGTGGAAGCCAGTTGATAACCAAGACAGTGGACACAAAAAGCAACAGCAGCAACAACAACAACAACAACAAAAATCAGTCATTCAACCAGTCTGGCAGTCAGTCAGTCGGTCACCTACCTAGTCAGTCGGCTGTTCAACCGTGACGCTCAGATATTTGGCATGCGTGGCGTTATCCCAGCCTGTGGCATGGCCACAGCTGCTGTTAACCAAATCCTAGCATACACACACACTCACACTCTCACACATACAAACACAAATAGAGCGCAGAACATCATCTTGGTCAGGCGGCGAGTGGCTAATGTCGCCACAGATGACAGTTAACAGTTAGCAGCGTGCCAGGTAAATAAATCAAACAAAAATGGCTACTTTGGCTACGTGACCAGCGAAATCCTCAGCCAAGGATTCGGCGTCCCTTGGATAGAGCACGCCCGTACGGTTTGACTGATTATCGGTCGGCTGCTTATGACACACAGCCAAGGCATAGCCAGGGCATAACGGAAGCTGACTCCAAGATGTGCGTGACGCAAATTGCAGACCAGTTACAGACAGCAAACAGCATCCCAGGTTGAGCATGTCGAGCTGTTCCAGTGACAAATGGGCGGCCTGTTAGATGTCTGGGTCCTTTGTCTCCGATCAATGTTCGGCGATGACATGACTCGGCCAGCAGTTGAGCAATAATGCCAGTTAACTGCTGTTGACAAATCAAACAACCATTTGGCCGAACAGCCAGGTTCGATATTAAAGTTGGCAAACTGTTGGAATTTAAATTCAATTATTATATTAATATCAAACGATAAGCCGCCAACATTAACCTAGATTCAGCTCAAGCACTAACGGCCCAGTGATGCCAGTTGTTGAGCTCCGAAGTAAGTTGGATTGTGGTTAAAAGTAGTAAAACCGGCTAAAATAAAGGAAAATCAGCTCGCATGTTTCCTCAAAGTATGATTATGAGATTTTCTTCTAAATCTTTCCTCTAAGAATTTCCTTTAAGTATTTCTGCTAAGTGTTTTCTCTAAGAATTGTTTCCAAGTATTTCTTCTTACTTTTACCTCTAAGTCTTTTCTGAGATTTTCTTCCAAGTCTTTCCTCTAAGAATTTCCCCTAAGAATTTCCTCTCAACATTTGTTCTAATTCTTTCCTTTAAGTCTTTAATGCTTAGCTGAACGATTTTTACATTTTTACACACACTTCACTTCAGTTTACTGCACTGCACGATTGACTTCCACGAGTTCTAGACGACTGAAGAAATGCAGCAGCATCTTCCCTTTATGTAGGGCGACTTTCACTCAATGTTGAGCTCGTCACCAGGTAGAGATCGTTACGGTTGAGCTGTATGTGACAAATGGGAACAATGGGTACACTCTCTTCTCCTGCAAGCATTCTTGACTCGTTTTACTCATTTATAAATACCAAATGAATACTGCTGCTATATATATAGAGACAACAAATGATCTGTAGTTCTTCTTAGGCTCTTTCTTTTTGGGACAGATAGACAGAGACAGACAATAGGCAGATGTACATACAGACATATGAATAGATATATAGGCACAACCCACACAGCTCACTACGCTTCTAAAGAATATGTATGTTTGATAAGGTTTAATGTTGATAAGCTAAATAACTTATGTCGATTAATATTTTAATTTATTTAATTTAATAATTACAGGCAACAGTTTCTTCTATTCTCTTAAACAAATTCTGGCTATTCCATCCGATTCTCATTTTGCATAAATTTATTTTCAATAGGCTACGACATTTGCGAATAGGCTACATCTAGCCGGAAATTGGCCAAACTGGCAGCACTGTAACGGCCAAGTATGTTATGTTGGTATGCATGAAAGTCAGCTGAAATTCATTTTAAGCACCGTTTGTCCAGGCGCACATTAATTTTGTTAGCAACATGCAATGGAAATTTAAGATTGCTGAACAATGGCGTTTGACCTCGCCTGACCTGCTGAACTGGCACCAGCTGACCCAGGCGATGGCCCACACCCATCTCACTGATATACAATGCATGTGCATGCGATTTCATTCGAGTGCCTGTAACTGCTGCAGCGTGTGTATGCATGTGTGTGTGTCTGTCTCTGTGTGTGTGTGTGTGTAATAAGGCTGCATATATTATGGCATATATATTGTGCCATATATTAGAGGCTTTGCTAACAATTTCTCTCACACTGGGCCCGGCGCCGGACGCTTAAGTATATGGACTGCAATTGGCTCGCTCCTCTCACTGTCCGCTGCTCGGCCGCATGGCTGCCATTGTTTGCCTTGCGGTGATCACTCAATTTGAATTAATTTGCGGCTGTCATACAATCTAAAATTAGTTTATGCCGATTTGCATAAGCCAACATTGAAGCTGGCTGAAACTTTGGCTGCTGACTGTTGACTGCCATTTTGATAGCGCTTCACATGCAATTTTTTATCATAATCCTGCAATTGCTGCCAACGAACATTGCTTAAGGCTAACTCTGCAATTCGGAGATCAATAATCATAATCAAAAGTTAATTCCATGGCCGAGTAAATATTGATATGAATCGGGGTCTGAGCCAGAGGCTTTGCACACTGTCTTAATACTTTCAGCCGTGGCTTTTTCTGGCTCATTTGTTGTGTTGGCCGAAAGGCTTTTAACGTCAACAACGGTTAACTTAGCAACAGCTGGCTCAAAGCTTTAGGCATTTCAAGTTTTGTGGTTTTTGAGGCACTCAAAGGAACGAAAAAAAAAAAAAAAAACTAAAAGAGAAACAAGTAAACCGAATATTTTGGCACTTTGCTTTAGCCTTTTGTCGACTAATTCAGTTTTTTGTTTATTTCCCCACACGCACATACACACACACACACACACACATACAAAGAGAGACTTGGCAGTTTTTATACTCTGCAGCCGTAGCATTTGAGAAGAAAAAGGGCAATTTACTAGCTTTAGAGCTGCCGCACAGCAGCTGTGTCTCTTAGTGCATATGTCTGCATATATGTATGCATGCTGCAGAGGCTTAACGTGCCACAAGACCAGGGAGTGCGGATATTTAGTGGCACCGGGGCAGAAGGAACTCTACTCTGCTCCCTGGCTTAATTGCACTGCCAAAGTGTAGAGCTTTGTTCCATTTATATATTTAAGATAAAGTGCAGAAACTTTGCTTTGTGAGACATGACAATTAATTCTAAATCATTTCTGCTAGTAGGTCAAGTTTTACATTTCATGAGTGATGAAAGTACAAAAGTCATTTTAATATGCACTTGAGACAAATATTGACTGAAATCTAATTTCGTTTCTTTCTTTTAAATAAGTATGAATAATTTGAAAAAATATTTGCGGAAATGAATACTAAGCGAAACATGGAATCACCAAGGGGACGACAGACAAAAAATAAAGATGTAAAAGGAAAGAAAAAACGCAAAATTATCGTGCAGAACCTATCTCGGATGCCTGCCCATTGTCCTGTGGCCGGCTGCTCTGACATCATATTTCCGTCCAATGTAATGCTGCACATGTTGCACAAGCACTCCAATAGCACTTGCATAACCGCCGAGGTATATGATCATCGACCATTGCTGCTGACCTTCGATCCGACTGGCTACGAGCGCGGAGACAACTACTGCATCGCCGCCCTCATGTATGGAGGCGTAAAGGGAAAGCCAAATACGCGACCGGGAGTGGATAATCTGAGCTTGCTGAATTCGGGTCTGTTGAACAGTTACCGGAAGTATGAGACCTACTTGCCCATAATGATGATGGCCTGCCGTACCACCTGGTTTGCTCATATGAAGGACAAGCAGCTGGAGCGCGAAATGCTCTCAAAGAACGAAGGCAAGGGCGGCATCTATGTATTGTGGCTGGTGTCTCCCATTACCACGCGCAAGGTGTTTTACACACTCACCATCTTCGATCGTCACTACATTAGCTCGCGTAGTTTGATTCGCACGGTGCGCGACTACACCAACTTCCAGGATCCTAGCGATTTTTTACCCATTGATGAGAACTATATTATGTTGCGCGACTCGGATGTTCTCGAACTAATGACCATCAGCAGATTGGCTCAGAGCAAAGGCGGAAAGAAGGGTCCACGCGGCATTCCAATGGAACTGATTGTCTATCAGACCCCATTAAAGCACTCTGGCAATCCCAGTAGTCAGGCAGAGATGCAGGCGGCGCTGAAGGAGGCCCGGAATATGTACTCCACGTACATAATGCCACGCACTAAGGGGACTGTTAATCGGGAAGTTTCGGGCAAGATGTCACTCACCAGAAAGCCACTCTCCAAGACCAAGGCTAATCTAGCTCATGCCCATGCCTTACATTAAATATTTCTAGCCCCAATTACAATCTCTGCACCGAGCACGTCTGATTTTGAAATTTTATGTTAAATCTAATAAAATCACATATGAGCTATGAGCTTGACTGTTTCTATTATAATCGACTAATATGCAGGGAAATATAATACATGAGTGCAGCAGAGTCTAAGAGCAGTCTGTTGCCAGGATACCTGCAGAATTGGTTCAATTTGAGTGGTAAGCACATTATTATATAATAAGCAGACAGCTGATTGAAAACCAAGTGCACATAAATTGCCAAAGGCCGGAGTCGGAGCCTGAGTCTTCCCACAGCCGCAAGGTGTGTGGACTAAGCAGCTTTTGTGCATGCATCCACACGCACACACACACAGAGACACTTCAATACACATGCAACCATTCAGCATTCCATGTAAATGACGCTAATTGTATTACAATTTGCTTGAATGCCTAAAAGCGGGCAATGGCAAATCACAAACCGCTTAGCTCGGATATTATATGGAGTATACAGCTACGCCGTGGTGGGCTGGGCAATTGTTGCGCATTTGGGCTGAGCCAGCCTGGGAGCTCGGGAGCTCGGGGCGCCGCCCGCACCACCCAACAACAAGTGCAGCCAACCACTTGCCACACATGCAATTTTAATCATGAGAAATATGTGCTGTGCGCTGCAGTCCCGATGATGGAGCACGGCCATTGACTGGTTTGGGTAAGTGCCGTAAATGCGGTAAACAGCCCGCACCCACTTAAATTATGCCTTTCATAGCAGTTATTCACTGTTATCGGTGGTTGGATAAGAATGCTGGCAAAGCGGCCCACGCGGCCTGGGCCACGCCACAAGCCTGCTGTTATTCGACTGCCACTGGTAGCTGCGTTTGTACTTGTGCACTCCATCTGAACGCATACCGCTAATCCGTCGAGCCCACAGCCCGACAAAGCAGCAAGCCCAGCTGTAAGCCAAAATGCGTTTATTCACTCTAAAAATTATGGTATTTCAAATGATGTCCTTTGCAGTTGTAATTAAAAATAAGCTGCAAAAATATGTTAAACAATTCATCATAAATTCATTCTGAGCTCAAAGTAAGTCAAGGAAAAACATTGTAAAAATTTGATATGTGTAAAATTAATTTAAGTTGCTACTCCTTTAGTATTTACCTTACTATTTATTGAAATATACAATTTTTTTTATTAATTGCTCTTATTTTA